TTACCAACTTGACAGACTCTCCAGTGAGCGTGCTCGGTTCGGTCAGTCAGTTCTCTCCAGTGGGCATGGTTCCACCTCTCTAGCCGATTGAGCTTTCGAGGATTTTATTATGTGAACCATTATATGCCGATTTTTAACACTGGTGTTGGGTTTTAAAATTCTTGTTTACATATCCCCTTGGTGACGGGTTTTATGTGGTGATGTTTTTTATTCCCATGTCTTTTGCATTCTGCTCTAGACTTACTGGCCTTGGAAACTTTGCTTAATATATATATTAAGGCATTTCGTTTCTGGCGGCTTATTGCGGGACCCCTTATCTTCGCTTCCGATTGATTACGGGAGGGAGGGAGGGTTTATCTCGTTTGTTTGCATTAGCGAGGTTTCGCTGGGCAATTATAATATGTTCGACCCTGACCCTGGCTCATGCCCCCGCCTGATTGGCTATGGTGGACACGTGACCGGGTAAGTGAGCTTTTTCTGCTATATTTAGCTTGGGAAATTCCACTTCTTGTCGGGGGTGTTTTCTGCAGACAGAATGCCACTCCTTAGCTCCGTCTTTAGGAGTCTGTCTTATGCTTATAAGTACCCCAAGGAGGAATATATAAAAAAGAATCGAACTAACCTGTAGAGGTTTCAGATTCTTTGAATATATTCCTCCTTGGGGTACGCCCCACCTCCCCACATTCTGTCTGACGTTGTTCAGCATGGAAAGTGAGGTACGAGGTTACGGTCTAGAGTTACCTGCTCTTGGCTGTAGGGGGCCGGAAGGCCCTGTAAGGGTGGTCTCACAAGACAAAACGTAGTTTTTGTTTTGTAAATATTTTTATTCAAATATTGTTACAACTGTCGTAAGGATTTTAAATGGACATTTAAATGCTTATAAGTACCCCAAGGAGGAAGATATTCAAAGAATCTGAAACCTCTACAGGTTAGTTCGAGTTTACGGGCAGAAATGTTTCCTACATATCGTGTTATACATTCAATCACATTAATATAAGTTACCATGCCACTATACTATAACTACTTAAATAATAACTGCCAATCATCCAGATATAAGCACAGACATGTACTCTAATTATCACTCACATATATAGGACAACTATAATTACTAATAATTTACAATCACATTCTAGAAACAATACCTGACCTCGTCTCAGGGATGCAGGCAGAATAGGCCAACAGCTACTAAAACATCTGATACTGCTAGTATATGCAGATATACATCATAAGCGACATTAGCGTACACATAAATACATATAGGTTATCACACTCGTGTGTTTTGGGATGGTTAATATCCTGCATTAGGAATAATCATTGTATTTAGTGAGCCTTGGCGAGCTCAATACATAGTGTTTATTCCTAATGCAGGATATTAACCATCCCAAAACACACGAGTGTGATAACCTATTTATCATACAATGTCATTTTCGCTTTATAATTTTAAAAAATGTGATTTCAAATGCCACAAATCATGAAACTAAACTTCGTGGAATGTCTATGATGTCACAAATATGTGCGGAGTAATACGTTACGTCACAAGCCCGGTGACATAATTTTCTCCTGATCACTCAGCGGTCATCTAGTTCCCAGAAAGCTTTTATGCTAAAGCACGTATTGTTGTCAACAAATCTTAGCTTATGTTTGAAAAATAACAACAAACTCGCGTGGAACTTCAGAAACCTTCAATTAACCTTTTGAACAACCAAATACGCTTTAATGTTAGCGTGACACTGTGCACCGTTCTCTCACTGACAGTCGGTCGGGGAACTGATGTTGAATTTCTATCTTCGCTTCGTAATCTACTCCATCTATCAAAACCATGAATGAATTTTCTGGGATCAAAGCACTGACAGTACCGTAATCACAGCCGTTAATCCGGACACGACCGCCGACCGTTGACGCCATGTTTGTTTACACTGTGAAAGTAGTCCCTGAAATTTGCATATGACCTCTCTAATTTGCATCGAGATCCGTATATGACCCCAACAGATACCGAAAATATCCGTTGGCTTTATCCTGCCGAGAACACTATCCATTGTATGATAAATGTAGTTATCTTATTGGCCCTAATATACACATAAATATGCATATATAAACTAAACCTTATGCTAAACATGCATGATACACATTACTGTATCACACCAATCATAAAATAGCTATATAATACACATACATAGACATGATACGTATATACATGATACAAATGATAGCATCATGGTGGTATAAAATACCTTACTGTACAAATATGCTCATACCCGTATACTAGTGTACTGGTACACAATACATCATATATTTGTCTAAAATACAAAGTATGCATATTTTTATAGACAAACAACTAACCTACACTAACTATGATAAAACACTATTCCTTAAAACATGTAAACTAACACCCTAAATCCTGATAGCCCTAGTATACATATAATACTAAAACATCTAATTTAACTTACCCCATAATGTGCTGGTTTTGTACTGTGATTCTCAAGGAGAAAGATGTAGACTGCCACAAGTGAAGGCAGTAGAAAGCTTTAAATATGACGAGAAGCTGAAAATCTATGAAACAATAGGAACCTTGACAACAGGCCAATGTGGAGATTGAACCTGACACAGATCACTTAACCTTAACAATAGACCCCAAGCTAGCTGCTGCAATAGCTTACCAGTGAGTAAGTAAAACAGTGCAAGTGTTAGTGTTAACACAGGCCAGTTTGGTAATGATGAAGTTTTATACCTAAGTTTAAAATAATGAAATGTAACACATTAAAAGGACACATTTATTTACACACCGTTACATTACAAACCTGGCAATGTTATTCCATGTATTTCCCAGTGACCCCCTCCAAGATCAAAGAAATGTCATGTCCATTGTTGACCTTGTTACTTATACCCACATTTGAAATGGAGATGCTGCATTCAATCATTGAGGAGGTACACCATAGACAACATCAGTAATGCACATACTTAGGACTGGTTCATCCACATGTAATGCAATACATTTGGTTATTCTGTGTTGTCAGATATTCTGTTTGGTTGAGGGCAATGTTCTATACCAGGAAGGGGAATGCATGGGGATTGTATATCTGTTGATGTTTTGTGTAGTTCCCAGCAGTGATGATGTCTAAATGTTTCAATCACTTAATTGTCTGGTCCAGACAGAAAGCCATCCTATAGCTGGAATTTTAGTGAAAGAAGGAAACTAACAATATGGTTACCATGGAAGATAAAGAAAACTCTTTTTGTGACCACTCCAAAGCCAGTTCAACTGAATATGTACTGTAAAGTCTATATATTCTCTCAAAATGCAGATATGGCTCTTTAGACATCTTCTCTGAAACTGCCAGACTGAGGAGGTGAAGAAACTGTTATCTGATTTAGGAACATTGTGGATAGTTAAAGGTCACATGCAACCCAAAAAACAAACATAATTAAAACACAATTATCACTTATTTATACATTGCTGATTATGAAAATACAAATAACAAAATTATGAGCGTACAATCGCAAATCAAAAGTGCAATATTTTGTACTTGGGTTTACTTCACTCGAAACGAAGCACCCAGGATACCGAACTCAGTCAGAGCGGGCGGCCGTGCACTTAAGTGTAACAAAGACTTTCATTGGCTCATTCATTTTCCGATACTCTTTGTGTGTGTATGGAGATGTTGGGTTTTGTAAATACATGCTCATTTTTTGTGTATAACATTTTGCAATCAACAGACATCATAACATGTCGTGTACAAAATCACACCTGCCTGTCTGTGTAATTACATCATGTGACAGAGACCGAACTTGGGTGCACGAGCCATAAATCAATGCGTTTTGTTTATGGTATATAGCCTGGTAGGTGTTAAGTTCAAATTGCATCTGGTCAGTGATCGAAGTTGTGTATTGCATATTGTCATTAGCAGACAGGCAGGCAGACTGGGGTGAATTTAGTGCATTCTTTGAACTCCGATTTCGCTGGGGTGTTTTCATCGCATTATATTTCAACTTTATAAGTTGAATTTGCATTTTTGATCATTTGTTACTGTAAGTCCATACCGAAAGGTATCAGAATCTGCAAAGTTGCATGTGACCTTTAATTAAGGCTTGTTTAAGAATGCATAGAACTCCTCTTAGTTAGCAACTGTGCAGTGATTCTTTTTAGTACGTAACAAAAACGTGAACTTTTTAGAATTCAGTGTGAAATTTTAAACATTGGTATGATCTGTTGTAAGGGGATTTAAACTGGTTCATTTCAGTGAAAGTAATACATGGCATGTATTTCTAAAAATGGTAAACAAATTAGCATATGTTCTTCTCTGAAACCACAAAGCCAGATTTCCAGAATTTTATGAGGATTGTCGAAAGCATGGAAATATTGAAGTGATGTTGACATTGCAGAATACGTTTAATTCTTATCATCCTTAAAGCCACAATCAATATTATAGATGTTTAAATGCTTGTAAAAAACACTTGATGAAATGATGGCTGAATGTCACATGACTTTAGAGCTTCACACATAATTGACTGTAAGTGCTGCTTGTCAACAAACATTGCTGCTAGAAGTTCAACATAACTCAGTGGAGCTACAGAGTAGCAGTGTTGTATTTGTGAAGCCATACAACCCTTTATAAGGGATGTCACCATGAGTGGAGCATGTCACAACAATAGGTTGATCTTTGATTGACAAATCATTTCCTACATTTATTACAGAAATAAGACTATAGGTAATATTTATATGGAATGACCAACAGTCAACACAGAGTTACACAAAGGTTGACACTCTAGATTCTTTTGTACAGATAATCCTTAAATCTGTGGGTAATACACTCAATTTGACATATGAGGTCACTGACAGGTCTGTGTTTGCTTATTGCCAGGATAAGTAGACACACACACACAGGTACACATAATGTTTGCATGCAGTTTCAGATAGACATTGGATAGTATTTACACTTGGCGATCTGACTTAAACAGCAAGAACCTTACAGCTGATATAATGAAGCTTGAACTTATTTCAGATAAAACTGGCTGACATGCAGACGAGGCTCGAGAGTGCCAGACTGCTCACATGGAAAGCTGCTATGCTGAAGGACTCAGGAAAGGCATTTACCATGGTAAGTCCATTTTGTTTATCTGATCTCTTTATCTTATTTCAACTGGCCCCATTCATTAAGTAGAGAAAAGATAGAGAGAGGCTTCTAATACAGACATGTATTAAGTCAACTGACCTGTTAATAGTTGAAAATACCTGAAGTTTTGAATGATGATGTATTTGATAGTAAGGCCCCAAAGGTGTCTTCCATAATGATCTTCTCTTGTGACCCAGTAGGATGGTTGTTGTTTACGCATCAGGCCCCAGAGTAACCCAATATGACTGCAGTGGTCACTAGCTTGTGTATGTCTGGGGTTCTCTTAACTAACCTGAAATGCAACCTCATGCTGACTGGCTGCCGGTAGTTTGTAGTAGTTATTTATCAAGAGGCCCATAGCAAAAGGACATATTTCTCAGCAACAGATGATAGACCACAACACTGCTTGCAGCTAACTGCTCCCAATTCCTGCAAATATTCTATTTGTATTTAAGAAATACAGTTCGCTCTACCACCATGTATAGTGTAATAAAACACACTTTCGCCCTGAACTATTATAGTTCAAGTACGAGGACGCTTGCGTCCGAGTGGTGGTAGAGTGAACTGCATTTCCTTCTAAGATGCTAAATTTAATACTTTCTTAATTACGATTAATTTAAGGCAGAAAACAAACGACGGTGTCGGTGACCTAAATTAAGAATCCTCGCACAGGGCTAACTGGCGCACTGTTCTATTGTTGAGTCTGCCCCCCTACGTTAAGACGAACGTTACCAGAAAAAAACAAATGATAACAGTTTGATGACGGTTTACGTTCGGATTAAATATTTTCTCTGAATTATTTCATTAACGTAAACCATATGGGGCAATATGAACGTCGCATTTCTACTACCAACGTAAGAAGCTGAGTAGTAAAGCGACATTCCACGATTGCACGTTACCGTGTCGCTGAAAACTTGTGAGTCGAATTGACACATTTTAACCATTGTAAAACATAAACGTAATGTTTCCACCAGTGATGTTAGCTGTGTGAAGCAACTGCAAACCAAGAAGCGGGATGCAACAGAGTAGTTTACAGTAGGAGGCCGTACGAGGCGATGACAACTGACTTGCATCGTGACGTCGCTTACATTGTGACGTAATGTAAAATGGTCTGATTACGAGGGGGCACGCTAGAATGGCGCAGTGACAGGATAACATCATTCAATTGTTATGTCATCAAAAAACTCTACCTTTATTGTCTGATAATGTTTGTTTTTTTCGATTGTTCTAACCGCTAGGCATCTTAGAATACATCATATAAATGAGGTTTCCCGCTTTGTGCTTGCACAAGAACCTTTGGGCACTGGCTGATTTTAGATAGTTAACTTTGAGGAGAAATACTGTTCAAAATCTGAAGATTTTATAGCACGATGACAGCCAGTGATATATTAGATGTAGTATTCTTAGAATTACCTTCATAGTACCTAACACTGAAAATCGATACAATGAAATGAGCAAAAGTTATTGAAACAATAAACAACAATCATTGATAAGATATGATCTTTAAAGTGCTGACATTGTACAGTCATGCATGGTATAGTGATGTATCCAACATGAAGATGGCATGGCATTAGACATTTTGCGTAGTCTTGACCAAGCTGAGAGATAGGAGTTCATGTGACATCTGGTTTTAGCCTTGTTATATGCTTAATGATGAATTTCAGGAAGCAGCCATGGCTAAGTTGGCAGCGTCAGAAGCTGCTACATTTGCTGCCCATCAGGTATGTACTGTTGCTGGCTCACATTAACACTCATTCCCCGGACACTTTACATTAGATACCAGTCATTATCTTTGTAACGTGTTGGCTTCCATTTGTCCTTTGCCAATCATTGCCAGTTACCTGTTGGCTTACCTTGTTATGCCTCCAGTTGTCTTATTACTTTTGTTGTTCTTACATGTACATATATATATGCCCTCTGCCTCATACCATTCAATCAACTGATGAAGGAGTAAGAAAATACTCCAAAACGTTGTGTTCCTCATAATAAAGAAACTGACGTCCCTAAAACTCTCTTCATTATTTATGCGTTTCTGCTCTTTGTCCGACTTTGTAACATAGATCTTGGACTGTGTATTTCTCCACACCACAAGGTGGAGCAGGGGATTTTGGAACACAGTTTGTCCCTCTGTCTGTTGTTTGTCCATTTGCTCACTTTTCAATGGCTACAATATTCTCAAAAATATTTAATTTGTAGAGTTTTATTTGCCCATGCTTCTGTGCACTAGAGTACATAGTGTGAAATTGTTTCTGAGAAACTACTGAAGTTATATGAATTAGTTTGCATGTTTCTCAAACAGGTCATCAGCAAGCCTGAGTTAACAAAGTGGTGCCATGTTGGTTACATATGTTATTGTACTCTGCTAATGTTCAGTGATCCTGTGACCGCCTCCATGGTGTAGCGGTTAGAGCATCCGCCCGGAGAGTGGAAGGTTGTGGGTTCGATCCCCGGCCACGTCATACCAAAAGACATTAAAATATGGTACTTGTTGGTACCTGCCTGGTGCTCGGCATTAGTGGGTACAAGAAGGACTCGTCAACTTGGGAGTCAGTATAATGTGTCTGAGTGGGGTATTCATGCTTCACTGCGGCATGGTATCTCAGTGGGCTAGCACTATAAAACCAGCTTCAGTCTGGGCTAGTACAAGCAGCCGCACCTACACATACACACGCATGCACGTCATATGAGCGAAATATTCTCCAGCATGACGTAAAACCCAATTTCACCTCCCCTCACCTTCAGTGATCCCGTAAAAGCAACATACCGTGAGTGTCAAGGAAAGACACTGTGTTAATGCAAGAAAGGGTCACTGTCATTGATTTCATTGTATGCACACTTTGTTACAGAGCATCCAGATCCTGGGAGGCATGGGTTACGTGACCGACATGCCCGCCGAGCGACACTATCGAGATGCAAGGATCACAGAGATATATGAAGGCACTAGTGAAATACAGCGTTTAGTTATAGCAGGCAATCTCCTGAAACAACATGGCTCTTAAAGACACATGTATGAAACAGGCATTCACACTTGTTTTATGTACACGGTTTCTCAAATCTTAAGGTCTAATTTACAAGATTTTCACTTTATATTTTTGAAAGTAATCATATCCTGCAATTACCACAAATAGATTTGATCAAGTTGTTTCCTTTTTAAGATATGGAAGTGTTTGTTTTCTCATTTTATAAACAGTGGGTGTGTGTTCACTATGTTTACCTTGCAGTGGTTGAAAGAAAACAATTGCAGGTGGATAGATTCTACAGAATCTCAAATTTAAGTCATTACTTGTGTGATTCTTTGTCAAATAACAGTGGCTTAGGTTGTTAACATTTAATAATGTATATATTGTGAATGTGTATGGAATCATTGGAAATACGATGTAAGAGAGAGTGGTGCTAGTTGATTATTAGTTTGTGTGTTGAATAAAAAGATGTCAATTAGAAAAATTCAGTTATGATTAAAAAAACTGAAAAATGATAACAGACAATCATTCATGATCAGCCACTTTAACTTCATCTAACACCCTCAGGTCACAGTGATATGCAATCAGAAATGTCATATCTTTAAATAAACACCAGGTTTATTCTGTCTAGAATAGGTTCTAAGTGGCCTATGCTAGCGTGAAGAGGCAAAAGAGTAGACTAAATCCTTGTTACACATCTCCAGTCCAAGCAGCCATCATATAGCTCAGTTCAGCATGTGTGTCTGAGTGTGCTCTTGGACTTGCAAATGATCAGGACGGAGACCATTACCCACATCAGGGATGCTTTCCATTCCACACTCCGTCAGATTATCCATATGAGGAGTGGTCAGACACACGTCCCACTTGTTTAGTGGTAGTCCTTGGATAAGGCGAGAAAGAAACTTTAGTTAGACACCGACCAGGTACTGAACACACTTTGCCAGCTGGTAGTAACAAGTAAAAGATATGCTTAGGCTACAACAACAAACTCCTTGCAAAGGTAAGTCCAGTGCCCGATCCTGGCAGTCATCATGCAATGGTCATCTTAGACACAATCTTGCTGTCTGCTGGTTTCTTTCATTCTTGTATAATCTGGTGTGTAACCTAAAATCTTTAATTAAAGGCTACCCTTTCCAAATGTCATGGTTATTGAGCATGGACAAGAAGCTGCCTTAGCATTCTATAAACAGGAACAAACCTCATAAATACAATCAGTGGAAGTTGCCCTGCATTTATCTTACGTCAGATCACAAACCTTTTAATGACATCATTTTCTCACATACTGTAATTCTCAATTTGAGGGTCCAGTGGTCATGTGAAATAAAGTGGATCTGGTTGACCATAACTTCTTTATGGATCTCAGTACAGCAGTGTTAAACGTCTGTCTGGAAACCAGTATTTGCTCTTTTTACTACTTCTAACCTACCCCCTGATATGGTTCAGACTCAATTATTTACAGGCCGCCGCCATATAGCTGGAATAATGCTGAGTGTGAGGTTAAACAAACCAACGAACCAACCCTCTGATATGTGGGGGTCGCGTGTGTGTAAGAATAAATTAAGTTCAAGGCAGTAAATTATTTACAAAACACATCTTTATTTTGATATTTATACAAAACTGTTGAACATTTACATCTGCTTATGAAATACAACATGCTGCTTCATGTTTCTGTACAGACAGGAAGTCAGCTTCCCAGACCAATACATGATTGACGATACATGGTCTTCAACACAGTCAGTCAGTCAGTCAGCTGGACATTCAGCTGTCTGTGCACAGCCGATATCATGTTGGAACACTGCTAAGTGTGGTGTGGAACAATGAACTTACATTCAACTATACAAACAGCAAATGATTACACTGTACCTAACCTGCATGTGAAGTCACATTTTAACATAAAAGTGCTATTCATATATTTTTCTGCACAAATACAGACATCAAAATGATCAGTGTCTTAATGTTTCTAACACTGCAATAACTACTGTATGACATTGTTGCAATTGTTCTGTATTATGATATTGGTTCCTGTATTTGCTTTGTTTCTTCTAATGTAAAACAATTACCAATTACTGGTAATGAAGCATTATGGATAACAACTTCTTGTTTGTTATCAAGCTATCACTACTCACCAACTTCCAGAATGCTGATCAAACAATTAAATTTCCAATTGTTTTACAAAAATACCCACAAAAGTCCAACTGATCTGAAGAAATTATGAAATCATCATAAGGATCAGTCATGTATCGTTCCTATATATCTCCAGTGTCTTTGAGAACATACATATTCTGAATTTAAAGAGAGAAAAAAAAAGAAGCTTGTGACCCTCATGCCAGCTGAGTGATCTGTGTTCAACATCACTGTCCTGCAGTATTTACTAGGCATGGCCTCCTTTGGGGTACAGTGGGGACACTTACTGAATGCTTGATGCTGTTCTATGAGCAGGATGTTTAGTATTTACAGTGCAACCTGCAGTACATACCACCTACAACTACCACACTGACAGGTGATCATGTTGTTTTAAAACCACTTGACTCTATCACCCTGATAATCACTCACACCTGAAAATGTTAAATGTGATTGATTTTCAGATATTTAGTCATTTCCAGAAAGTAAAACAGAAACCTCAAAATCAATCATTTGCACAGAGGTCATAATTAACAGGATTGTACATGCAAAATTTCAGTATCATGTGTGTAACAATCTGAGATAAAAGTATTTAAAGAACCTCTTCAATTTTTCATAACACAATGGGCTACAAACATCCAATCAAGTCATCATTTACAGCGCTCTGTATACACTACAGACCAGTGTGTTTCACATTCCACTATGTACACTCTCAGTAGAGCAATAACTGCACCACAGTGTTTCACATTCCACTATGTACACTCTCAGTAGAGCAATAACTGCACCACAGTGTGTTTCACATTCCACTATGTACACTCAGTAGAGCAGTAACTGCACCACAGTGTGTTTCACATTCCACTACGTACACTCGGTAGAGCAGTAACTGCACCACAGTGTGTTTCAGTAAATACCTATTCAGTACAGCAATTCCCTCAGATTACAAGCAGGATACATGCCTTAATTTGCCTGGAAACAGCCAAATGTTTTCAGATGTTCAGCACAGCTCCAAACCACCAAAAATGCTACATTTTACTTTGCAAAACAGTTGACCAACATAGTAACTCCATTTAAAACTTTTATAAGTCATCATTGTGTTGTAAGAAAAGATTCTGTTTGTTATTAACCTCACTGCCCTGAAAGAGACAGAATTTGCTTGGAACATCAGGTGACATTAACACGTTGACTGCCACTTGAGTATACTCGTAGTGTCAATGTCTGGCCGAATCTGCCACTACAAGTTATCTCGTAGCTGCATCAATAATATTTTGAAACCGGTTTCACATGTTGGCAAAACAGGCACAAGAAGCAATCGTCTCCTGGCGATAACAAAAAATGCCAGGAGACATTTGTTTCTTGTGCCTATTTTGCCAACATGTGAAACTTGTTTCAAAATACCATTTTGCCACTACGAGATGACTCGTAGTGATACTAAGATAGGCAGTCAACGTGTTAACAAACATATTTCCTCACTGGCATCAGTATTTTTCAATAAGAATAAGTAATTACCAAGAATTTTGGCTGCTTTTATGTTTTATGGAGAACTGGCTACTTCTTTGAAATGTTGTACTTTCTGATCATTAATTATTGAACACCCAGGTGGACAAAAACAATAATTACAAAACGCTTGTTTATCTGGGATAATTACTACCATATATATATTATATATATACAAAAATACAACCAAATATTTTCATGGCTGCAGAAGGTCCATACACAAAGTCAAACATTAATCTTTCCATGTTCTTATATTAAAATCTACAGGACAGACAAGAAACTTGAGTATGTTGATGTTGACTAAATATCACTTGAGTGACCATGGACAGGTGACAGTGACAAATGGGTCTCTCAATCATCCTTTTTCTTTCTCACAACCAAGGGATTCTTCTTGCACTGATTATAAACCTCATTCAATTCAAACTCTTTGACAAAGTTTTCCTGAAACAGAAAAGATAAATAGAAAGACTTTTTTTTCATGGTCAAGTAGAAGACAATCCCAGGAACTGACAAGTAATGCCACTCAAAGAAGTTAAATGACAAGTAGGTCAAAGAAAAGCTCTTGGGTGACCTAAAATCAACCAAATTGGCCATATTGACAAAATAAAACACCCATTGGAGTACTCTACTAAAATAAAAAAGCTGGGTTTTTTAACATACCGTTGCTTTCTTATTTTTAATCAGCATGGTACAAGTATCATCATGTTGAAATGATAGAAATACACTCACCTTTGTTAAAGCGAACTTCAGTGTATGATGTTTGGTACATAATGGCCGTCTTGTCTTTTCTTTGCCATCCTCAAAGAAGATGATAGTAGGAAGCTGTCTGGACCAAGCACTATGATCTATCTTAAACCTAAAAAAGATTTAAAAAATCCTAAGATGTGCATCAAACAGTCATTCAAATATGTCTTTGAATTGCATGATGTCTTAATGGTAAGGTTGGATATAAGGGGAATTTGATTTGAGTACACCACATGTGTCTGAAGTACTTTTCATCTGAATGCCACAATTTACTCATTTCATTTAGTCTAAACCATGACAGTAAGATCAAGAGTGCATAAAATGCGATACCAGTATGATAAGTTTCAAAAATTCAAACAAACCAGCACAGGTTACTAATTCTTTGAATAGAGTCCTCCTTGGGGTACTTATAAGCATTAAAATGTCCACTTTATAATCCTACGACAGTTGAAACTATATTTTCTAATAAAATATTTACAAAACATTTTTTCTTGTTCGGCAACCCCTACAGGGCCATTCAGGGCCCCAACAGCCAAGAGCAGGTAACTCTTACCATCAATCTCGAAACTCACTTTCCATGCTGAACGTAATCAGACAGAATGTGGGGAGGTGGGTGGCCCTGCCCCAAGGAGGTCTCTCTTCAAAGAATCAGTTACCTATGCAGGTTTGTTCGATTCTTTTTCAGAAGAATTCCTCCTTGGGGTACTTAAAAGCGTAAGACAGACTCCCAAAGAGTTGGGAGTGGCATTCTGTCTAGCAAACGCACCTAAATCTATCGGAGACAGAAAACACACTCACCCGGTCATGTGACCTCCAATGTCAATCAAGAGAGGGCGTGGCCTAGGATCAGGGACGAACAATGCCAAGTCTATGAGCATATAGGCGAATAAGTGACTCCAAATAACCTCCAACCCAAAAAGCTCAATTGACTACAGAGTTACAACTCTGGCCAGTGTTGAGAACTGTCTCACCAAACCGAGCACACACCGAGTTGGTAATGACAGATTAACGTGCTTGGTCGGCTAAAAACCTGGGACTAATTTGCCAGACAGCCCGACAGATCCTGTTCACACCTGCTAAAGAGTGCTGTACAAGAGGGTGATGTGCTAGAAGAGCACCATTGACAAATATGTGAAATGCTGAAATAGCCGTGAAGTAACCCCTCACAGTTAAAGTGGCAAGACCAGCTTCCAACCTAGACTGTAGGAACTCCAACACAGTGACTAGATATGCAGAAAAGGGATCAAGAATCCCCCTGCCAACACACCAGTGCGCCATCTATCCTCACATTGAACGTTCATCAAATGCCTCCGCGAATCCAGAATTGTGTTTGCAACTGGTGCCAGAATTCCGCTCGCTTTGAGGTGATTCTGGACAGTGCCTAGCCACCCACTGTATCCTGGGATTTGGGTGGGGCGCTCTGTTCTGGGATGGAAGGTCCGGTCGAAAGGGGAATAGTACAGGAGGCTGAGCCAGAAGGCTTCTGCAGACCGGACACCATGTCGGATATATGCGAATTAACAGAGGACATCTGTTGCTGCAATACATTTGATAGCCATGGTTAAAGGTGCTGGTGCAGCAACAATAAGTTGTCGGGGGGGGGGGGAAAAGGGAAGGGAAAGGCTTATCAGTCAACTTCGCCAGCTTACCCCCTGCCCCTGAAAGGGCAGAAGAAGCACTAATACACTTTTTGTGCTTTGATGACTACTTAGAGGGCTGGTCCTGCTCCCAAATGACAACCCCTGTCTGAAGCAGCTTGGTGCCGGCTCTACTGGGCCTTAGACGTGAAGGCCAGGCAAATAGTGTATCCCGGTCATCGTGGGCTTTCTCAGCCAAACACATGAGACACGCATTGTGTGGATCCTGAGGGGGTAGGACTGCTCGTAATGCAGTTTTTGAACTGCAAAGTGAACAGAACCAAGCTATAAAAAAACAGCTGGTAAACTGTTTATATAAATACACAAGTATCATGCTAAAAAAGAGACTGACTGATTGAGTTTGGTTTTACGCCGCTTTTAGCAATATTCCAGCAACGTCACGGCGGGGGACACCAGAAATGGGCTTCACACATTGTACCCACGTGGGGATTCGAACCCGGGTCTTCGGCGTGACGAGCCAACGCTTTAACCACAAGGCTATCCCACCTCCCTGCATAAAAAGAGAAACACGGGCGATACCGAAATGCTAAACATAACAAGAAGAAGTAAAACTATCAGACTGAACATTGTGACATGTAAAGTACTGAAATAAGGACACACCCAATACATGTACTCTTCATAATAGAACTTGTACAAATACTGAAGCGCACATACCACTAACCATTCAAAGCATGACTTACCAGTATTTCATTGAAAACTGGAAACTAGGCATGCAATAAGTATTTGTCGAACGTAATAATTACTTGAAACAATCCCACCAAAGTGTGAAAGCCTGCAAGCTAACCATGAATTGGTTAAGGGGAAAGAAGGTCGCTAAGTCGACCATCTTGAAAGCCACATGGCTTGAAAACGAGCGACCAGCCAGCAAAGTTACAACAAATTATGCAATAAAGAAAAGAAACACACATGCAGTATTTGCGTCTTTTTCAGTCATTTTAGCAGAATTCGACTTGAAGTCTCCAATGAACCACGCAAGTCCATAAACACAGAACACAGCATGAAAGGTGGGTTATGAAGTTCACGGTTAAAGTTACCAGCTCTTGGCTGTTGGGGCCCAGAGGGGCCATGTTGGGGTGGTAAAACAAGACAAAAATGAGTGTTTGTTTTGTAAATATTTTATTAGAAAATATAGTTGCAACTGTCATAGGATTTTAAAATGGGACATGTTAATGGTTATAAGTACCCCAAGAAGGATCTCTTCAGAAAAAGAATTATTATTTCACAACCATAATATGGTTTGAAGTTTTCAGAAAGGTATCACCCTTGCACTCTCAATAAGTTCATCCTGTCCTAGCCTGAAACTTCTGAAACTATCAAATATATCACATTTGTTGTTTACAAAAGGGCAGATAACTATGAATTGCTGGTGCTGCCAAGCAAAGGATAACTTATCAGAGGCAGTTTGCATGTCTAAATAATGCTATAATGTTCAGATGCCTCTATTTCCACTTACTTCTCAGCTACAGCAGGATATCTTGACACATCAATTTTACCAAACTTCAGATTATTTAGGGAGTACCTGCAACAAGAAGTGATATTCTCTAAGTACATTCATGTAACAACTCATAACATTTTGTATTATATAATGCCACACAAATCAGGATCTCATTAAAGATATTGTCTTACAAATTGCAATTTGTTTAAATCTTAAAATCAAGACGGGGTCAGGTTCACCTGTTGCCATGAGTTCATGTTTACATGGATTTGTCACCACCTAACTTGTAAACAACCACAGAGACTGTTCCACTGACCCTGTTGTCTGGCTGTCAAGAAGTGTCATGTGTTTCTGTACACTCAAAGTTCTGAATCAATCTTTAAAACATCAGAATTGTAAACAGTTTGATTAGTCTGTGTAGGATAGGCTAGATGCCAAATCATAACATGGTCAAGGACTCAAAAGGCTGTGGAAATGTTTCATTTCCAAAACCCTTAAAAAGTAGTTCAATAACAATGCAGCTCAAGTGTCAACGAATAAAGTTGAAGATTTCTGAGAGAAGGCAAACAAGGCAGCCATATTGAAAACATTCAAATTATTAGTGAGTGAGCGAGTATGTTTTAAGCCACTTTCAGCAATATTTCAGCAATATCACAGCAAGGGACACCAGAAATGGGCTTCACACACACATTGTACCCATATGGAGATTCGAACCCGGTCTTCAGCATGATGAGCAGACGCTTTAACCACTTGGCTACCCCATCGCCCCTTCGCATTTTCAGAAATAATTGACATTTGATCATTTGCAAGAAGAAACATTAGTCCAACTTCATTCAGTTGTGGTGCTTCCAAAAACAGATATGTTAACAGGTGTGATGGTGATGATATGGATGTTGATCTGAAACAATGATGCAACCAAAACATAAAAACTACCCATTTCTTCACAAGTTAGGAGTCTTAGATTTTGCCTTTACAGTAAAGGTAGACAATAACACTCACTCAGCTGACACTTCAGAGAAAGATGGGGCAAACTGCATACAGTTGGGAGACCATGCAGCATAAAAAGTGATAAACCATCGGACCCGTGTATCTTTCTCCAGCTCCTCCTGAAACAACACATGATGGTGGTGAAAGACAAGTAGAATTTCACGTAATCACATACATACAATACACTGACAGATTACACACAGAGGGCTCAGTACATTCTGAGAACCAAATGTCATAAATATTCATGACGGAAGTTTGATCATTGTAACGACAGAAACACAGAAAAGGTCAAATTATTGACTCACTTTAATAATGTCACAATGACAGCTTGCCAGCTGGGGTCACCCCTTACCTCTAAATGTGGTCCTCGGAAGTAGGTTACATGTTCTGGACCTTGGTATGTTGGTTCTGGCAGAAATATGAACTGGACTGGAACAAATCAAAACCTCACTCTAACTCATGTCTACCACAAATAAACATGACATGATATGGGAATTAAATTGCCACTAACATATCCATAACAAGAAGGCTGCATTAAATCAAACCTTGATTGTTTGTGTCATGGATATAATTGTTAACTTTGTGTTTGTAACTACAGGGTTCCTAAACTGACTTGTAAACAGGAAGTAGCAACAGTCCACTCACTTCACATGATATTTCCACAGACAAGAGCAATGTGCAAACTGGAAAATTTTAATTATAAATTGTATATTAATAATACTTATCATATCTCACATCTTGTACTCACTCTTATCATCGACAGTTGAGTGGAAACCAACTGTAAATGAAGTTTCTGGTCTCTTTTGAACCCTTCGCCAGAACATACCCTTACCGACAGCCTGGTAGCCTCTGAGAAGCATGCAGCATGTCCTCTGGATGATCATGTGACCCCTCCATATAGTCATTCTCGTCTTGGAGCAGTAGTCGTAACCAATGCAGCGGGGTCAGACAGGAGTCTATCGTGTGAGAGAGGACACCCTGTGTCTGTAAGTTGGATGACAACCATGGTGATGTGATACACAAGGCTGTTATTACAATCTCCCGATTGCCTGCATAACTCCTCTACTTGTGATCGGTTGCTTCTTCAAAAACCCTTGGCTTACACAGCACAAAAACTCCCAGGGAGTGGGCACTCCGGAGTAAACATTGTTTTTCGACGTACATTTGTCGCCTACGGTTGGCCGCAGATTACCCTGTGTCTAAGTGGATGACAGCTGTGGATGTGATGTGATGATGTTGCACAAGGATGCCTGCTATGAATACAATCTCCCAATTGAATACATAATTCTTATACTTGTGATGGATTGCTTCTTCCAAAACCCCTTGGCTTACTCAGCACAAAAACTTCCAGGGAGTGGGCGCTCCCAAATAATTGTGGTTTTCCGCCGTACATTTGTCCGAGGAGCCCCTGCTTTGAAACCGTCCCCCACGATCACACATACAGATGGAAGGAGGAACGGCCTGGTTCACTCAACTGTTTAACGTTCAGTTCACATTGAGTGACCCTCACTCCTTTGCTTAAGCTTAGCCAAGGAATTGCCTGGCAACTTAGGAGCGGGGGCGACCCATCGAATGAAAATGATGCGATGAACCCTTGTGATCGGATGAATGGGAGAGATTCCTCTAAACATAACAATTTGGTGCACCAGAAGAAACATGAGATGCCGATACTGTAGATTCAGTGAACTGGCATGACTGGACAAATTGCTGATGTCCTCGGGACGAGTATGAAGGAGAGATCTCTGAGGTGAGCGAAGAGGCGGCATATCAGTACCTAACTCAGTCCGATTTGGAGAATGGCTGGAGATTAAGGGATCCGCCAAATGTGACTAGCCAGGAACTGACAAAGCATCCTTCACACGTGCATTTGACGAATCAATCGGGTAGGGGTAGGCAAAATGCTGGTCCTAAGGTCTTGCGAATCAGGTGTATTCTCCAGATTCGATGACTGTTCCATCATGACCACACGAGATGAGACAGAACGAGTAGGAGACGACGGATGAGTCGGGTGCAGGAGACGACATAGGTTTTCTGATAAATATGAGTTGGAGGAAACATCCAAGACATCTCCCTCCTCAGAGGTCGATGTAAGTGAGTGATGTGCTACCTTGATAGGGCATTCTTTCTCAGCCTTCTTGGAGGGGGAAGGGCCGTGCTCTTCTAAAAGTTTCCTACAGTCCCTGTCTGATAGGCGACAGGGGCCTACTTTCTTGTATGCAGTATATGTCTTCAAGGATCTGCAGTCGAACACATCTTCTTACAGTGTGCACAGAATTTCCTCTTCCTAGAGGAAGCATCAGTCTACCCCATGATGAAATTGGTGGAAGTGAAAACACAGATGAAATTCTTACACCTTGCAGCATATCTACACCACAGTGCGACAAGATAGAGGATAACAGAGAGGGGTGGTCACGTGAGCAGGTAGTGGAGTGTGCTGCTTGCTTGCAAGGAGCTACCCCAGCTGTTTACTTTAGGGAGCAGCATGGAGTGCACGGGCGAATGGACAAGAGAGGCCTTGGATTTAGCTTGCAGTTGGTTTCCAGCAGGTCGAATTGAAGAGTGAGTGCAAGATGTGAGATAGGATAAGTTTAAAAATCTTCATTTACAGTTTGTTTCAACTCAACTGTCGTTCATAAGAGAGAGAGAGAGTACAACACGTGAGATAGAATAAGTTATAAAAACAATACTTTCACAGTGACAGCTCTGACAACTTCTGGGGATATGACTTAAGAGGCATGAGTGAGATGAGATAAATCGTGTACTACTTACGTAAACACAAAACACAGTAAGCTATACCCAGACCAGGACTCTGCTTGAAAAACATCACCAAGTTCAACATCTTGGCAAACAAACAAGTAGTGGAGACATACTTGTTGATAGTTGCTGAAAAAAACAGCATTAAATTGTAACATCAAAAAACAATAGTGCATAAATCATACATACATTTTCTTCCAAAAAGATACTGATGTTCATTCAGTCAGCTCTTGTTTTCCATATGCTCCAATGCTATTAATTACATTTCTATATCGCCAGGTTTAAACATCATGTTTGTCACAAAATCAGTACACAGATCAAGACACACAAGTACACAAACTGTCAAATGTTCAACCCAAGGCGTAAAACAATTTTGATTCTATGTACATAGTATGAGTAAAACATGAAATACTCCATGTATGTTAGATTGGTGTCAGTGTGTGCAACAAACCTTCTTTTCTATTCTTCAACACAATGACACAGCCCAGAAAAGTGATCCATTCCCACTCTTTCTGAAAAAACACCAGGACAAATATCAATTAACAAAAGCCCAAACTGACATGCACAGTTGGAAGATGCTGCAAATAAATAGGTCAGTTATCCTAGTATTTTACTGGTCTGCTTGGCAGGAAAACATAAATGACATGCCATCCCCAAACTGGTTTCTGTACAAATGTTCAACTTCTTTGTGATGAGTCAGTTGTAAATAATTGGTAGCAGGAATGTAACACAGTAAGATGTACACGTGGCACCTATATTTCCTGTTTATTTCCTGTTTCATATTTAACCAGTCTATAAAAAATATCCTAAACAAAATAGCCTTTCAAACATCAATCACCACTTGGGAGTTCAATCGTCCTTTCTTCAATATCACTTTACAATTCCAATGCCAAATATAGAAAAAAACTGGTAAGGTGCTAAAACCAGAAGCAGTTTCACATATTCTTCTCCTGAAAGACCAAAGCTTTTCTAATAACAAAAGGTTATCATGATGCATTTTGAACATACCAAATCAAGTGACTGTACTCCATATGCCTATCTGTACTTACAATTGATCGTGTATGCAGTACAACCTCGTCCTATGCCTCAAGCTACCCTAAAAACTTTGTTACGCACTACCAGACACAAACACACAGCCAGCATAAGACAACTGTAAAACAGAATTCCCCATGCCTCTAGCTTCCTTAGTATTAGCAGAACTACTCTACAGATTACCATTCTAGTGACTGTGACGTTTAATGAAGGTCATTCAAAACCTTACTGCTGTTATACGCCATCTTATATGGATGTATACTAAATTTCATCCAACAACAGTGAGTTGTTGTGATCATATGAATGCTTTAGTGAATGACCCAGAAAGTGAATTTGGTTATGGATATCAGTAGCAACATTTTACAAGAGCATGCCAAAGGACATTCAAGCCCATAAACCATGGTTCAAACACGACAAGTTTGGGGTTAAAATTGGATAGCTAGAGACTTGAAAGATCATTAAATGTTTGGGTTAAAACAGACACTAATACTGACCATGTACATTGTATTTGTTTGTGGTTCACTATTCACAAAGTTGTATCTTGAGGTAATGACAGTTATCTCCCTGAGGCCAGTGTACAGCAAACCACTCATCAAGAACCCGTTTGTCAAGTTCTCTATTGCTGTTACCAGTCTCACCTTCCTACTAGGCCATCTACATAAACTGTATGTGTTAAACTTGCAACCAACTGACTGTTATGTTTACAAACTAGTTGTGACTGCTGTGACACCAAATACTCTTTCCAGCTATGAATGTCCTTTATACTTACCCTTGCTTAGTAGTGATGATGTAAGGGAGATCTTGTGCTTTTCTGTTTGTACTCAGTCAATCTCAAACTGATCTCATCAAGCAAATGTAATTTGATAGTAATAATGATACAGGAAACATTAGGTCTATTGTAATCATTTTGACATTCCTAAACATGTCACTACATTTGTGGTTTCAGTGAAGATTTTCAAGACGCTTGTGAGGGTGACTTGCACGTTTAGAAATGATTGGCCAATATGTTTCACTAATCCCACTGATATGATTTTCTTCGACAAGACATGGTATTGTACTCAAGTTAATAATGGCAGCATTTGATGCAATTAGTATGCAGTATTTGATTGTTCACAAACCTGTTAATTGAACAAAAAAGTAAGATTTATGGATGTCAACTTCTTAATTGTGAATAACACAACATTTCTGAGTGTATGCTTGCTTCTTCATCATGCCCTTCAAAGATTTCAACAAACCTCCCTATCTCTTAAGCATGTCACTTATTGTATGACATCTTCATACAGAGCAAAAATGTTATAAAATAAGTATTTAATAACGGTCTTAAAAAATTGTTTATTTGAGCATTCCAAATTATACTGTTGTTGACAATTTGAACACATTAATTCAAATATTATTCACATCTTTCTCTTGAGGTAATCTCAAGACTGAGTATAATTTATAAACTGAACCTTTGGAGATCCAAACTAAAACATTTTTAGTTGACAATATACCCATATTTGGATAACCCATACTCTTTTAGACTTGATCAAGTGGATGACACGTACCCGCTACCCCAAAATGCAAATCTGTACCCAATGATAACATTGCATATTTTGAAACATTAATTGTTTGTATTCATACCTGTAGCAATTACCACGTAAACATATATTATTTGAAATATTAAATCATTTGTAATATGGTCTCAATTCAAATAGTTTACATTTATCGGGGTGAGAAAGGTTACTACAAATGATCTTAAGTTCTTGGACTCCTTACTCAAAAAGCACTCATTTAAATTCTGTGAATTTGTTTTGAGATCAGAAATATGCATCCATTACTCATAAATGTAAAGTATCGATGCAGACAAATAAAAAACATGTTTTTCGGGAGTACTGCACTTTACCGGGCGCACTTTTTCAGATTAATTAGCGTTGCTGGGGTTCCCTAACCCTAAGGATCGTAAAGGGTGGCATACCCTAACCCTAAGGATCGTAAAGGGAGCAGCGAGGGCTGCGCCCGGTAAAGTGCATTCTAACTGACATGACTTAACATCTTTAGGGCTTCAAAATTTCGGATCAGGAGACATAACGGGTTTTTTAAAAAAGAAAAAATGTGCTCTCGTGATTTAGTGACAGTACGAACAGTTAAGTGCATGCCACAAGCCCTTTATGAATATAAAATATAAATGTCGACGTGTCGAGTGGTTAGGTAGCATCCACGAGAAGGTGTCACCTGTCAATGTCAAACTTCGCCAGAGGGACACCAGTAGTCTAGAATATACATCAGGTGAATGGCTTCAGTAAAGAAAAACACACACACAATAATAAGGCCTTCATACTTACAATTTCTAGCTTACAATCTTCGAACAGAAATGTGCAAACTGTCGGTGTTGTTTTCAAAATAAAATATAAAACAGCAAGAAGGATATTGCTGAAATAATGAGCATTGACAACAGCTTTCCAATCGCCTAAGAAAGCCATCTTTGACCGGAAGCGGATCGACTATAGTAGATGGCGCTATATATGCGGTAGAGACAGTTAAGCTGGTTCTCGGCTGCCTTTGCGCGCGCTAACTTGTATATTGCGGTATGCGAGACGGGGCCCAGCTTATTGAGACAGTGGGATTGTATTTCGACGTATACGCTTAACTCGGAGTTTCCTTCGTTAGTGTCGGAAGTGTCCGAAGATAAACGACATTTTCTGAATGGGTCATATTAAGACGGACCTGTCACGAACAGTCCCAAAGATGTAGCGAAACGGCTACGCTACAGGCAACAAAGCAGTGTGGTAAATGTACCCTGAAACGTATATCAATACATTCAGACCTTCTAGATAAACGTCGTAAATGATCAGAATTTTGTTTTATATGTTCTATATGCCCACAAGCTTAAGCGTATACATGAATGTAGCATATTTTTCTAGCGAATACAGACTAATGGTCATAGGGTGACCGTCAACATTGCTAATCTCATTCCTTGATATGTATGTACAATGTATTCAAATCTATTATACAATTAATGCGATATAATAAGTGAATTTAAGGTCTTTATGGTGTGTGGGGCCGTTTTGACACTCGTTATGACTTTTCGTGTAGTTTTTGACTTTGGATTATGGCCGTTTTGACTTCTTGTGATGCCGTTCTGATTTTACCTTTTGATGTCATCCTAATATTGGCCGTTTCGACCAACTCTCGACAGCCACCCAGGTGATCTGAATGGCCAATGTGTGACGAAAATAATTGACTTTATTCATTTGTGACGGTTTTTTTCGATGATTTAAGTAACTTTCGTCCTTTCTATGATGTAAGAACCTAGCGTGTTTGTAGCTGCTGTTACTGCAACTGTTGCTCACATCGAACCGAGTCTTGTGTCAGCAGCCGATGTTTCTCGCTTCTCTGTAACATTGTCAGTGTCACAGAAGTGGTAGATTCTTGTATAACTATTGAATAATATCGACAAAAAATGTCCTGAAGACGAACGGCATCACATTTGTTCCTTAGACTATGATTATACGTCCAGCGAATAGCAAGAGCTTTACTACTGACACAGTCCTGAAGATGGAGAACCTTTATGAGGTGTTGGAATGTTCGGAAAATTCTACGTATGACGAGATTAAACGTCAGTTCAATAAGTTAGCGAAAGCCCACCACCCAGATAAGCAACAAAATCCGTACACATCTAAAAATGATTTATCAGACAAGTTTACCAAGATAACTCATGCCTGGAAGATCCTTGGAAATAAGGAGATGAGAAGACTCTTTGATAAACGATGGAAAGAGAGGTGTCTAGTCCAGGACTGGCCAATACAAGATAATGTTCACATCGAGGAATTTTCTGTGGAGGACAGTGTGCATGAACACCCATGTAGATGTGGAGGGATGTATTGTCTCACAACACAGGACATATGCTTGAAGCTGGACCTAGTTTGTTGTGATACCTGCTCATTATGCATCTGTGTACATTATCAAAAGTAGTCTGAATGAATTGTGATATCCGATAATTCACCAGTATGGATGTGAATCATTTGAACGTTGTGTATTCAGGGTTGTATCCAGACTTGCTCTGATACATTAGGTGCCAATCTGGAGCAAATGTCTGTAAAAATCGGGATTTCCAAATCAGAATAAATATGATGTCTTTCAGTGGCATTTAGAAGTTGTAAATTGATGTCCAAGATATTTTTATGGATTAATAGAGCATTCATAGTGACGACGTCATAGTCCCAACTGTCAGTTCACCTGATGAAGGGACCTGGAATGGTCTCGAAACTTCGCGAGGGAAATTATAAAGAAGTTTAATCCATAAAAAATATCTTGGACAGAATAAATATATTCCTAAAACATGTTAATGTATAACTATAACTACTAATCCTTTCTAAGGTTTTGCAAAGATAAACTGTACACCTGTGATAACAGAACCAATAACCTAAGAAGAGGTTTCAGTGCTTTGTTTTGTTATTGCATTGAATACAATCTCAAAATAAAATGTAAAATACCCAGTAAACCTTTTTGTTCCAATTTGTCTTCCAGGAGCACAACTTGGGGAATCTTGGGTAAGTCGCTTGCATTCAGAGTAACAATTTGGAAAACAGGTGTTTCTGGTATATATATTTTATTTTGTCTCATATTTAACAATTAAAATGACTAAAAGAAGAAGGTTACAGTTCATTTTAATGTTAAGCGCACATCACCAAATTCACTCAATGCTGTAGGAAATCGTTCACCGGTCAATTGTTTTGCAAAAATGTAGAAAGGTCTTTAGTTATGGACGTAATGTTATAATGTTTGTGTGCAATTTTTTCCAATCAATAAAAATGCAGCATTCATTCACATGATTACTGTGTCTCAGTGAGGTGATGTCAGAACATTATGGCTCCCATTTGCTTGACTAAACCAGTGTGTGACATGTTGGGAACTTGAAATTAAATCTTATTTCTATTTGATAATTAAATGCTATATAGCAGACAATACATGTATTTTGTTAGATTTGAGATTCGCGGATGCTGTAGCAGTCTCTGGATCTCTGTAACTGTATTGGGAGGAGTACCAGTTTAGACACAAGCTACAGCTGGAAGGATAAGACAAATGCAGATAACATATGACCCGTGAAGATCCGGGTTAGAATTGGTCTTCAGAAACCCATGCTTGTCGTATGGGTCATCGTATCCCAGTTGTGTAGATTGATGCTCATGATGCTGATCACTGGATCGTCTGGTCCAGATTTGATTATTTACAGACCGCAGCCATATAGCTGGAATATTGCTGAGTGCGGTGTTAAACAACAAACAATCAATCAAAGCAGATAGCATGTTGAAAACATACTTAGCCATTATGTTAGTAATAGGCTTCAATTTTACATTGTATTGTTGATGTTTCAGCTATATGGCAATAAGTAGTTGTTAGTAGTTAAGATTAACTTGCGTTCCATTTGTATGTGATGTCTTTGGCTGTGGCCATTAGATGACCATAGAATTTGGACAAACTCCCCTCTTAGAATCTCTCCAAATGCAGTGTTTGCTCTGAACGCATCTCTCAAACTGCCGGACAGATGAAGCTGAATTGTGTCATCCATGTGCTTTCTGATGCTGACATCAGAGTTTGGTCATGGCTATTATACATTGACTGTTTACTTAAAAAACAACTTCATCTCTGTGACAACACAAAGCTTCGAAAGACACAACATTATTGAGTGATGAACTATAAAAGTGTTCAAGACATAGTTGAATTTAAGGGTGATGTAGACTATTATCCTAAAAACAGCCTCCCTTGTTGAGAACAGATGAACGTCCAAATGAACATGTGTGCATTTGTCTGTCCATCAGCTGACTTTTTGAATTCTTGAAAGATTTTTTATCATTGACAACACAAGGTCTAGGAACCTGAAACAAGGATTTTACATGTGGCAGCAGGGTTTCAGGGATATACATGCCAGCAAAGTCAAACAGATAATATGAAATAGGTTTTGAAAATGAACTAAGTTATCTTTTAGAAAGTACTTTTCAGCAACCACAAGGCCGATGAGCAGAAGCTTTGCAAAGATATAAATAGAACTACATTGTTACATGGTTTGTTCAACACAAGCCTTTGAATAAGTTTGATGTGTACATTGGCATGTTCTCAGGAAAAAAAGATGTTTCAGAGTTTATATTTCACCAACACTGAAAATTTTGCCAGAGTTATCTCAGAAATGACAAGGTCCAGCGAGCTTTAAGTTTCTGGAGGATGTCAAGCACCACAAGACAGGCTGTGTTCATCCATATAAAGAAACAATGTTTTGAGTGCAAATGTTTAAGCATGATTTATTCAGAAGCTTAAGGCTCAGAGAGCCCATTTTTTAGTTGGATATGGTGTTCAGATAAAAAAAATATGTATATCATAACCCAGAAACTGCTTCACAAATGAAGTTATATTACCATATTAACAGCTTTTTATCCTTAATTTGTGTCTAAATATTTCATTAACAAGAAGTTAAGAACACTTTGAGTCTGGTGTGCAGCAGTGTCATGGATATACATTTGATACTGTCTATCCATATGTAATGTAGGGAAACTTGAAGAGTTTTCCATTTGTTCGTCTGAGTGGTCATTGTTTGTCCAATATAAAGGTAAACAATCAACCAAATAAACCCCAAGAGGCTTGATCTCGGAATGATGTCAAGGAGACACTCTTATATACTCAACTAAATTAGAAACGTGACACCTACATTATTGGTAATAATTGTGAGTCGGGTATGTCTTTTCACTTTTTGTGCAATGGCATGTAGGTAGTTTTAACATGTTATTGGCGACAGGCATTAAAAATATTAACCACATGCATCGATTCACATGTCATCTTAGCAATTGCATGTACAATACGTTGTTGAACAGTGAGTGAGTATGAGAAATGGGCTTCACACATTGTACCCATGTGGGGAATCGAACCCGGCTCTTCGGCGTGTCGAGCAAACCCTTTAACCACTAGGCTACCACATCGCCCTGTTGCTGAACAGGAACATCATCCAAATGGTAAGTTTCATTAAAGAGAGGAGTATGCCACCACTCACGGATGACTAACGTGAAGGTATGGATAGACGGCACACTTCACACTGAGTTTTGCGAATACAAGGTACGGGTGTGGTACACGAGGGGAAGCATCACGCACAGTATTGTGAGGGTGACCGATTTTGAAGGAGCAGGGTAATGGTTTGGGGAGCATTTTTAGGTTATGGTCGATTTCAATTGATTATTGTCCTGGGGAATCCGATTGCCATTCAGTACTCGGACCACGTACGTTTTGGCCCGCCTTTCTCCCATTCATGTAGCGTCATACTACATTTGAACATGATAACGCTACGTCCGATACTGCTGTTCAACTTCATAAGGAACACGAGAGTTAATGTCACATACTGGCCTTAGCGTTCTCACTACCTGAGTCCGATCTATCACATTTGGGAGGTGGGACGACAAGTGTAACAGGAGATGAATCGACCTAAGACCTTTCAAGAACTTTGCCACGCACTACCTCACCCATGGCAACAACTACCGGTTTGAGG